TCGCGAACGCGTGAAGCTTATCGCGAACGCATAGAAGAAAAGGGCTGGGGTCCAGGGTTTGGGCCTACGAGTACGCGTTGAAGGAGGGGCTGAAGCTACGCGATCGCGGGAACTATTTCGCGAACGCGAAGAAGAAGGAGAAGCCTAAGGGAACGCGAACGCGAGCTGAAGGCCGCGAACGCGAAGAAGGAAATCACTGTGCACCTGTTGCAGATTTTCTGCAATTTTCCTAAGTTCAAAACCACCCTGAACACCTCCGAGAACACTCCCGAGCCCTCGGGGATCCTAACCAATCACACACACTAACTCAACCACATCCTACGAACCTAACCGTGCGATCAAATCGCCAAAATAACATCAAAAACGAGGAACCAAACCTCAAAATTATTACTTTTCATCAAACTTCATAAACTTTCATTTTTTGAGATTTAGGTCCGAAATACGTCAAATGACGTCCGATTTCAACCAAATTTCACAGAAACGTCTTAATACACATATAAGACTTGTACCGGGCGCCGGAACCAAAATATGGGCCCGATACCGACGCATTCTAATCCATTTTCATTTCCAATTTCCTTATTAATTTCAGAAAAACAATTTCTTTTAAGAACTTATTTCTCGGGCTCGGGACCTCGAATTTCGATTCCGGACATACGCCCGAGTCCCATATTTTTCTACGGACCCTCCGGGACAGTCAAAATACGGGTCCGGGTCCGTTTACCCAAAATGTTGACCAAAGTCAACTTTACTCATTTTAATACCAAATTTTAGCATTTTTCACAGAATTTCACATATAAGCTTTCCGGCTACGCGCCCGGACTGCGCACGCAAACCGAGGCAACTAAAAATAAGGTTTTCAAGGCCTCAGAAGCACGGAAAGAGAGAAAAAATAGGTGATGACCCTTTGGGTCGTCACAAGCTGACTTAATTGGTTTGGTTTGGTTCTAATATTTGAAAAATCGGCTTACTTGGTTTGGTTTCTTTTTAGGGAAAAACCGATCCAAACCGAACTATGAACACCCCTACCTTCCCATATCGTGAATATTATATATACACTTATTTATATCTCACAAATGAGGCTGGAGAAGAAGTATTTTGAAGCAAACACTAGAAAATCTCTTCCTTGATGTTCTTGGTGGTTCTTCAAGATTTAAGTAAAATCATATGAATTGGATCCATATATGTGTTAAATCTAGCATATAATGATGTTATAACATTATTTATCGTGAAAAAGGTAATAACAATTAAATTTGTTGATGGGACTCTAAAAATACGTGATCTATTTTGATACTAGTTGTGGAGCAGTTGATGCTATGTGTGTGAAGTTTAAGGATGAGATGCAAGCTAAAAATGGAAACGTGATCGAACCGAAAGATAGCCATGCGGGGCCTCGAGCTAGTCGATTTAGGGCCTCGGGGTCGATTCCCGAGCTCGGGCTCGAGCTATCAGGGGCAGTCGGGGAAGGGCTAACAGATGCAATAATATTAAAGGAGGCACTTTATGACCAATGATAAGCAATAAATGAAGAACAAATATGAAGATAATAAAATAGAGCAACAGTATCGAGAGAGTGTATTAGAGAGAAAAGAGAGAGAGAGAGTTATCATATATTTCTTGTAGAGTAGTTGGAGCCACATCAGTTCCCTAAAAAATAGTAAGGATCCCCCTTATATAGGAGGGGAAACCCGACATAGTACAAAAGCATTAATTGCGAAGATAAGGGGATGGGATAACTCGGTAGCAGCAGGCTCTGCCAGTGCTAGTTGCACGCCTTGGGAACTCCCCATCCCCGGTATTGCCATTAGGTCGGGCGTTAGTGGACTTCAAGGGGGAGAATTTGACTGCAACCTCATAGCCTCGAGGTCTCAAGATAATCTCCCAGAAACGCCCTACTGAAGAGAAATCGGGCCCTCCGATTTTACCGTATACAAACATCATAAATATACCAAGAAATCATACCTTGAAGTGTATTAAGATGTGGGGTTGATGCATGCTTCCGTGGCTATGCACCCTACCTATGCCTGGCTGCGTAGCTATGCACTCTGGCTACGCAAGCAAGTTTCTCCTTCTGATCGTCTTTTCTCCTTGGTTTCAACCTGGATACAAAATTCACTTCTTCCCTTATTTGGTAAACCTTTCAAGTCATGCATTTAACCATGCAACCTAGGGACCTCTAATCCTTATGACCTTTATGCCTAAGTACCCGATCGTGTAGGTCCGTACGTATTTCAAGATTTCGCTAAATATTCTTAAGCTTGAATTAGTCACAATCATATAAAAAAAATTGTGTGGCTTTACACCAATTCCCCTGCCAAGTATTTCCGAGAAAACATCAATAGGTAAAATATCACAGAGACTGCAAAAGACATAAAATAAACGGAAAAGGTCCAAAAATATTCCTAAACTATGGTATATAGCTCACTTTTGTCCTCCGTTAGTCAACTGGACAAAAAAAATCCTCCTCGTTAGCACTAATGTCCTTCAACCTAACAGCACTCCACACAAGCCATTTTAAATCTTACATGGCATCCACGTAGTTGTGACATGGCAGCCACATAAACGGGCCTTCTAAACCCGTTCCGAAACCCATTTCCAAATAAAGATCTGGCCGTAACCCCACATCCAAACCCCATTTCATAACAAAAACCCAATTTCTTCCTAGACCCAATTTCCGTACAAAATTTCTGCTCCAATTCCCTTCATGACAATGAAGTCCTTCTTTCTGTTGCACTATATTATTCTTGATTTCCACTTATGTGAACATTAGTGTGGTGCTCGATCCGTGTCTATCTATTGATTTTGCACATGAAGAATTTTTCTTGGTTATACAATTGTAAACTCATCTGAGAAGAATTTTGGCTTCTGCACACGTATACACAATATAAAAATGCTCCTTTTTTATGTGTCTCATGCTACAACCCTCCTCTTCGAGCTGCCAATATAACCTGACCAACAAATTATGAATCTTATGACATTGCATTAAGAGAATACAGAAGTACGCTTGAATCTATTTCAGTCTTTTATTTTTTCAATTGTACATTGTTCAACTAGCTTTAATATATGGATGACTTACTGCTGAAGTTGGAGCAGAAATTTTGAAGGAAAATTGGGTCTAGGAAGAAATTGGATTTTTGTTATGAAATGGGTTTTGGATGTGGGGTTACGGCCAGATCTTTGTTTGAAAATGGGTTTCGGAGGCGGTTTAGAAGGCTTCCCGCTTATGTGGCTGCCATGTCACAGCTACGTGGATGCCATGTAGGATTAAAATGGTTTGTGTAGAGAGCTGTTAGATTGAAGGACATTAGTGGTCCATTTTGCTAACGGAGAGGATATTTTTGGCCCAGTTTACTAACGGAGGACAAAAGTGAGCTATATGCCATAGTTTAAGGATATTTTTGGACCTTTTCCGTAAAATAAAAACAACTTACAAAAACATTAATTCTAATGTTATTTATAGCCTGTTTGGCCAAGCTTCTTTTTGGCCAAAAGTGTTTTTTTTGGGCCAAACTTTTGGCCAAAAAATGAGGTGTTTGACCAAGCTTTTGGAAGGAAAAAAAGTATTTTTGAGGAGAAGCAGAAAAAAGTAGCTTCTCTCCGAAAATACTTTTTTGAGAAGTACTTTTGAGAAAAATGCAGTTTTTTAAAACTTGGTCAAACACTAATTGCTGCTGAGAAGTGCTTTTCAAACTAATTAGCCAAACACAAATTGCTTCTCGCCAAAAGTAATTTTAAGAAAAATATTTTTGAAAAAAAGCACTTCTATTTTTGAAGCTTGGCCAAACGGGCTATTAGTCGTGACAAACTAGTAGAAAAGTTTTGCATGCACATATTCCGCTTAATTTTTTCCAGTAGAACCAAATATTCCTCGCATCTCTATTCTCTCCCTCTGCAAAACCCTCTAAACCCGCGTAGTATATGCGCGGTAGTTTACCCGTTGATCTTGCACCCAAATCCCTGCTACACACCTTTCGACCAGGAGCAACATTTTACACACCCAACCTTTTAGAAGTGTGTCTAATACACATTACTTTTTTCTTGACCAATTTTTTAAAACATGTGTAATTTCACGCTCCAATCAGATAGTGACACGTGTCATTAACTTATTAAAAAAAGAAAAAACCTATAAATTATAATTAGATCCCATCTTCTTCGTTAAATCCATCACCATGGCTGCCTTCTCTTCGATCGGCCACCATCAAATCATGCCTTCCATCTCCGACCACTATTCTTCAATCAAAAAGCAGCTATGTGAAGTTCTCTACTACAAGCGCAGCATCACCCCTAACCTCACATCTCCATTAAAATTATTTTTCTTTCACTCTAAAAGAATCCCATAATAATAATCTGGATTAACTTCTTTAAGTAAGAAGGCTTACACATTTACTGTCGAACTTATTATCTTTCTGCTAAAATCTTTAAATTCCATTTTATTCTTCATAAAGATCAAGGATGGCAAGAACCACCATAAAGGGCAGAAGAGGACTGTCGCTGGCGGCCAAGGCGGTGGCTGAACTAAAAAAGAGTTGCAGAGAGCAGTGAAGGCTCTAAGTGAAGATAACATCGACCATAGATTCACCTTCTCATCAACCAATCTCCATTAATTTGGAGAAACCCAAAAGATCTCTCTTCCAAAAAACACTATCTCTCTCTACCTTTAAAATTACATAGGCCATCCAGCTTCATTATTGAAATCTTCACAAGAAAACAAACAAAGGCCGGTATGGGGATATGGGGAATTGTGGACAACAAACATGGGAGAACTTTTTGTTTCGTTGAAGAATGAACAAAAACAAAGTAAAAGAAAAAGGAATAAAAGAAAGAAAAGAAAAAGGAAAATCAATTTGAGCCGTTAGATAAATTTTGTTAGATCAGAATCGTTCAAATAAAATATCAGATATATATTTCTGTTTCTTCACACGCCTTATTTTGTTGTAAAACACGCGCTGGTCACGTAGGGAAAATAGCGTGTATTGGGCACACTTTCGTCCCATAATATTAAGGGGTAACTTATGTATTTTGCCTATATACCCTTCGAATACCGTCTTCTTCCTCTTCCATCATCTTACTCTCGGACCTCGTTGCAGAAAAAACCTTCATTTCTGATCAATATTTCTCATGGCACCCATTGACCCACATTCCTTCACCGATTCAGCACACCCACTCACTACCCATATCTCCCTCACTCTCTTCTTCGATTTCCCATCTTCCACCATTTCCTCTGCCACACTTCTCTCCCTCCCTACCCCTTACACCGGACCCCTCACTTTCGACACTCGCTCTCTCTCTGTCTCCTCTGTGCTTGACCCACTTTCTCTTTCCCCTCTCCCTTTCTCCCTCTCTCCTGATTCCCCAATTCTTGGACAGTCACTCACCGTTTCCCTTTCTAACCAAAACCAAATCTTGATTCTCTCCAAAACCAGTCCTTCGAGTTCTGCCCTTCAGTGGCTTTCCCCTCCTCAGACATTCAACAAGACTCACCCTTTTGTGTACACTCAATGTCAGTCTATTCACGCCCGTTCGATTTTTCCTTGTCAAGACACACCCGCTGCGCGTGTGAAGTACGCTGCGAAGTTGAACATCCCCCGCCAATTATCGGCTGTTATGGCTGCTAGGCACGTGGAGAGGCGGGACCCACTGCCCTCCGAGGCGCAAGGGGTCTGTGAGGATTCAGCGTGGTGCGGGGATGATAGGGTGGTGGAGGAGTTCGTGATGGAACAGCCTATTCCTCCCTATTTGTTTGCATTTGCTGTAGGAGAGTTGGGTTTCAGGGAGGTGGGCCCCAGGACTAGGGTGTATGCTGAGGCTGTTCCTGCGGTATTGGATGCTGCTGCTAAGGAGTTTGCTGGTACGGAAGAGATGATTCAAGTTGGGGAGAAGCTTTTTGGACCTTATGATTGGGAAAGGTTTGATCTATTGGTGTTGCCTCCGAGTTTCCCTTATGGCGGAATGGAGAATCCGAGGATGGTTTTCTTGACCCCCACTGTGATTAAGGGGGACGCCAGTGGAGCGCAGGTGGTGGCTCATGAGCTTGCTCATAGCTGGACAGGGAACTTGATCACGAACAAGAACAACGATCACTTTTGGTTGAATGAGGTATTATAGCTTATTGAGTTAAGTGCTTGAAAGTAACACTTAAGGATTTAGCATCCTGTTGTATTTATGTTCAATCTCATGATTTTATTGGCATATTCTTCAGTTTCTTGTGATTTATTTATTTTTGTCATGGTTCAGTAACTCAATGAACTTTCCTGGTCTGTACTTGGTGCTTTGTATGTCTGACATTTGTGTACAGAACTAAGATTGTTGCTTAATTTAAAGCTGGTTCTCTAGCTTATGATGTAATGTAAATTAGATGCTGAAATTGGATTTTGTGGATTTCATAGAGTTTGTTGAGAGAAATTATAAATCTTAGGGTTTAACTTAGTGGAAGAGAGAAGTCCTTAAAGTATTAGATGATAGTGTGTGGGTACTACATTTGTTCTTTTAGTTCAACATGTTAGGTCCAGGATGAATTGAGTCTAATGCGCAAAAAGATGACATATCGTCTTTTTTTTTGTTGATAAGTCAAGTACCATTTCATTAGTAAGTCACGAAGTAGTTTAAATAATGTTTACATCATGTGAGAATGATGCAACCACCGTTTCCTATCAAAATTCTTCCATTCAACTAGTTGGTATGCCCTTTAACAAGTTGTATAATGTCTTCAAGCCTTCCAAATATCTGTGGTCATATATCTGTGGGGTTATATAGGGGTGGTTCTGTTAGAGAGGATTGCTGATGCTCTGAAAGAGTCTGAATCCAAGAGAGAAAGCACTTCTAGCGTTGTTGTTACAGTAGAAAGACTTTGAAGAACTCTTGGATATGTCCCAAAAATATTATAAGGAATGCTTTGTTGAACTTGAATTCAGGGAGAGGCATCTATGTTATGTTCAACAATACTGAAAGTTTAAAGGAACTTGAATTAATTAGAAAATCACTGCACGGTAAAGGCATAGAAGTTGAGGATAAAGAAAGTAAGTTTATAGGACTTGTTATAGACTTGAAACTGAGAGAGGATAAAATAAGTGTCATTCAAGAGGAGGTCATCAAGCAACTTAAATTGAGAGGAGAAATTAAATGAGAAAGAGAAGTTGATTCCAGGTATTCTTGAGGAAGTGATGTTCGAGCAAACGGAAGTTGTGGCTAAGCAGAATGTTATTGAATGTGGCTATGCACAAAAAGATTTTGGGGCTCAAGGAGTTGGTTCAGAAGAGACAGTTTAAGAATTGAACTTATGATCTCTATTTCAAAGTGGATGTTTTGAAGCAACAAGCGAATGAATTGATAGTGCACAAGGAAGAACTTGATTCTGCTCAATTTTTCAATGAATATGGATCAAAAGAGCTTTAAACCTGTGCAAAAGACAGCTGCATTTTGCAAAAAGGCTGACACTGACAGGAACTTCCCGTAAGAAGATTGAGTTGAAAGAGAGGCTTACAGGCTTGTGCCATTATTACAAACCAGGCTGTAAAATCTACCATAGTTGCTTAGATGAATTTGGAAGGTGGAATCAAGATCCACGCAGCAATGAGGGCATCACGCCCAAAGGCCAGTTGCCTTGGATGAACCAGCTATATTAGGCAATATATTGTCATTTATATTAGAAAACATTATGCAGTAAAAGTTTACAACATCAGTTAATAATAGTATAAATAAGAGAGTTAAAGTTATGAAATTTCATCAGAACTTTGTGAACAGTTAACTAGAGTTGTGGCTCAATTTATTGATCGCAACTCCATTTCTTGATTCCTGTCTCTCTATAATAGAATTTCCTTCTCTAAAAAAGTGTTAATTGTTTCACATTTGTGTAAGGAATGCATTGTTGTCTCCGTAAATGGTTTTGGGCAATCGTCACCTTTTGAGTTAACTTTTTGGGGTTGGGTTCGGCTCAACTGCCAAAGGTCTATTTTCTTAACTTGGTACCAGAGCTAGACCTATTTATATTCTTGGTTTACCCAATGTTGGGCTCCCATGTTATATTGTCCTCGCTTCATGTGTCCAATCCTGGGCGTGTAAGGGGGTGTTAGAATCTCCCACATTGATATGGGTTGTCTGCTTATATGGTCTTGACGATTCTCATTTCATGAGCTAGATTTTGTGGTTGAGTTAGGCCCAATATCAATTTTTTCCATTCTTATTCTACCCAATGTTGGCAACATAAGATGAGCAACGTTCCTACCTTGTCTCCAGATAACACCAACTCAGAACCATAACATCTATATATAAATATAAAGTTGGGAGTTGGCAAGATGATGTGGCAGTCCTCTAAAGCCATCATTCTTATTTATCTTTTTTCCTTTTTTTTTTTTTGGACTTTTATCCTGCTTTTAGTACAATTTCCATTATTAAAATGTTTTTCCTACATAATCATTGTTATGAGTTTAAATAAGGGAAGAGGAGGAAATTTTGGAATTGAAACATCTTTCATTATATGCATTAATTATGATATTAAATAAGGGAGAGAAAGAGATTCAATTTAATTGTGTAATATAAGCAGCTTTAATGACTTAAAGAAGAAGAGGTGTAAACAAAGCTGGTAATAAGGGGGTATTGGCATTCTAAATCAGAAACGGCTCCTCCCCACTCTTATTTTTCTTCACAAATCTAATGTTCCAATTGCTATTAGAAGTAATTATACAATTATGAGGTTTAAATTGTATTTAATCTATTATTTATCTTTTGATCTTTCCAATTCTCTACTCGACCACCCAATTTCTATTCCATCTATATATTGCGGTCTCTGATTTCATCTCAACTATATGGTTGGTGAGTTTTCAATTTCTTTTTCGTCTAAACAGTATTCCGTATTACATGTTAAAATAGAGTAAAATCAAACATTTCAGCAAATGTCATTGTAACCACACTTATACATATCAGGCTATATTTATGTGTATGGATATGAAGTAGACTAAGGTGATGATGATGAAGATATTTAAAATATTTTCTATCAATTTCCAGGAGCTGCTGAGAAGTTTGGCAAGCTTTTATTCAGTGATACATGATTAATTTTGGCAAGCTCTTCTTTCAATTTCCATTACTTTTGTAGTTCGTATGCAACTTTTATTTCAAGTCATTTTTGTTGTCTTGTTTTTGTATGTTTTGTATATGGATCATGGTGCTGCAATGGTGACTCTGGTGTTACAAGCATTTTTTTTGTTGGGGAGTAGAAAATATATGGTATAGAAGTTCTTATATTTTGCTGGGTTTTACTAATAGATTATTGGTCATTGTGCGAAGAATACGATTTATATTTAACTTATGGAGATATAACGTGGAACTTCTCCTCAACTAAAATGACCAATTATTTTTTATCACTTTTTTTGCATTTTTCAAGTATTCTGCCCAATTAAAAGTGTAACAATTTTAATTATTTTTAATTCCTTTATTTAAGGTTTTGTACATATAGTAACTCCAAGAATTAAATTGAATGTGGTAAAAAATAAGATTTCTTCTCCTCTTTAAAGTTTTTGAATAGCATATTGCCTAATAATGAGGCAAATTGAAAGAACATTGATAGGAAAGAGAAATAAAAAGGAAAGAAAGAAAAAATAGTATGTAGAGGCAGTATAAGGTAGGAATTGAGGGAAAAAGGAAGGAAAAAAATAGTAGAGAGATTAGAGAATTGACAAGGAAAGAAAAAGAAGATCAATAAAAGAAAAAATAGTAGAATTATTTCTTTTCTCTTTTTAGTTTCTTTACTTTTCACTTCATTTTTATTAAATATTTTATTATTTAGTGAAAAGAACAAATCAAATGCATATAATGCATTCATGTATCTAATATGTAAGTGAACTAAGAATAACGTATTAAAATTATATGTGCACGCCTCTCCCCCACACAAAAGTACAAATCTTTATATTTTTATATTTTTTTTATAAAAAATTTCTGCAATGAATTTGAGCTCAACTTCTAATAAGAATATTGTATTTTTTGACTTGATCAATATATAGAATTGTTTTTTCTATGCATTTTAGTAAAAAGAAAGTTATCTCTCCTATTAGGATTAAATTTATAAATAATTATTTTAAATTCAACGATATTTATTACAACTGTGCGAAGCGCAGACGATTTCTCTAGTTCTTTGGATAATTGAGGAATCCCCTGTCAGTTGTATGGTCCAACTCTAGTTGGATACTTGGAGTACAGCTTTGAAACTCTGGAGAGTATGGGGCTGCCCTTCTACCCTCCTTTTGTTTAAATACCTGGCTTTAGTTTTTGGTGGGGTTTGAATTTGTGACGTGTGCCGGCCACATATCCCGCATTATGCTTCTTTTATCATGAACCAAAGCGCTAAAGCATTGGGGAAAAAATTTTCTCATTCTTATATTGTAAGCCATCATCAAGATAGCTGGCAAACTATGCAACAAGTGAAAATGTTGCTTTCTTCATTGCCATGAATTTCCATATAGCTTTCCGTTTCGTCTCTTCACCATGGAGCAAGGAACTTTAATTAGACTTGACTGGAAGTTTGTTGAGAATGAACCTTCTCAATTCATGCCGTCGGCCTCGTCAAACAGTGTATAGTCATATAGCTTTGCCAGGAGCGATTTCACCTCATTCAACTCTCATTCTTGTAAAACTCTTCAAGAGGAAATGTCTCATGATGTGTGATTCCTGACCCTCCTTAGAACCTCAGCTTTATGCAAGCTGGTACTGCATCATGTAGCATTGTCTATTATTTTTTAAGTTTCTTCGACATAGCAGTTTGGCTGCCGCACCCGTGTCGACACAACACTAATATGGGTGTGGCTATGGGATCCGTACCGTATCTGGTCAAATAATTTTGGGTACTTTGACCACGATGGACGAAGAAATTCGAGAGGAGATACAATTTGATATCCAAAATCAGAACCAAAACTAGGATAAATTTGAAGAAAATAACATAACCTTATCTAGGAAATCAATCCTTACTTATCTACTTACAACTTGAGGATAAAAAGAAATCCACACTTTACAAGCTATACGTAAGTATTTCACATAACTTAAAGATATTTTTATATTTTTAATTTTTGAATTTTTTTAGTTAGATCCCAACACCCGCATCCATATTAGGATCCGAATCTTAGAATTTACATCTCGAATGATCCGACCACTAGATCCGCACCCGTGTCAGAAACCCGCATATGTGTCCGAGCAACTTAGGTTATTTTATGGGTTTACCATTTGTTTTAAGATTTGAGGTGATGCAGGATGGACTAAGCAAAGAAAAGGCGTGTTTTGCCTCTTTTGTGCCTGGTTTAGAAATATTGGCTTACATCTCATTGCCATCACTCAATGCCTCTGTTGGGAAAGTTCTTGAACCACTCCACCTTGTTCCCTACCCCCTTCACAACTGTTATCTGTTCAGTTTTACTGAAAAGAATGCTGATCTCATTATAAATACTTTCTAGAAGAGACCAATAGAGAATATTATGCTATTTAGCATGGGGAAAAACCGATAGTTCATGAAAAAGCAATAACATTGTGGAAAACTTGGAAGAAACTGGGAAGAGTGAGGCTTAAATGGGTGTGTTTGAAAAGTTAAACTGGACCTTTAACTTGCTAAATTTTCTTAAAAGGCTTCACTGACCAATGTTTTCCGCAGTAGGCTCTAAATTTCTTGTAGTCTCTGGATTTTCTTGAATGTTGATGAAATTCCTTGGGCTTTTGAGTTCCCTCTACGAGGATGTAAAATCTCACCTTGAACTATTGCTTTCTAAAGCACTGTTTGGGAGGATTGTCTTGCAAGATTTGTTATGTTACAAAGACTTGACACCATTCCTTTTCTTGATTTCTTTGTATGAAGATTTGTTAGCTGGTTCCCGCTGATTAAAAAAATATAAGATTTACTAGCTTGTTTTTGGATTTGTTTTCATATGGTGAGTGTTGGCTGCTTCTTGTGTTAGGTTGTGGAGAAACTCATAGAACTTTTATTGTTTTATATGAACTGTACATTAAAGGAATGTGATATAATTCATGGAATAAAGGACGTCTGATGTTTTTATAAACTTTTGGCTGCAACCTTGTGCTTAGGCATGTACAATGATAGATCTTTCTTTCTTCCCTTCTTCCTTTTACAAGTAATATATGTAATAGGGTGAAATCATGTGTTTGTAGGGTTTCACAACATATGCAGAGCGAAGAATTGTGGAGGTTGTGCAAGGCGAGGACATAGCTGCACTAAATATTGGAATTGGATGGAGGGGACTTGTTGAGGAAATGGAGAGATTCAAGGATAACATGGAGTTCACAAAGCTAAAAACAAACCAGGCAGGTGTGGACCCAGATGATGTTTATTCTCAAGTTCCATATGAAAAAGGCTTCCAGTTTTTATGGCGCATTGAGAGACAGGTCGGTAGACTAACTGGTGAAGTATTTTTCCTTCTTTCTATGAAGAGCAGAACTAACTTTTCTTCCACTTTTGTTGCTCAGATTGGAAGACCTGCTTTTGATGACTTTCTGAAGAAATATATTGCTACTTTCAAGTTTCAATCTATTGACACTGATATGTTTCTCAATTTCCTTAAAGCTAATGTCCCTGGAATAGAGAACGAGATTGATTTGAAACTTTGGACCGAGGGCACAGGGATCCCTCCAGATGCCATGGAACCAGTTTCTAACATCTATTCAAAGATTGTTTTGCTTGCTAATGAGTTCAAGCTAGGTAGGATGCCAAGAGAGGATGAAGTTGCTGACTGGAAGGGACAAGAATGGGAGCTTTACCTCGAGAACCTTCCTAAATCTGTCGAAGCATCTCAGGTAGTAACTGGCCATTATATGAGAAGTTTCCCTCAGTAAATATGCAAATTATTATCTACCTGTCTCTTGTTTTGTCCTCTTCCTTTAAAGTAGGTAATTGCTATTTCTTTTTTTACTACTTGCTAGTGCTTAATCTCAGAGAACCTTATGAAATATTTCTACAAAGTAGTAGATAAGTTGCAGATACTTATATTGCTGGTGGGAGGTAGCAGGTATCCCATGGAATTAGTAGAGGTACGCGCAAGCTGGCCCGGACACCACGGCTATTAAAAAAAAGTAGATACGTTGCAGAATATTCTTTCTTCAATTACTTACCAAAAAAGAAAAACTCATTTCCAAAAAAAAAAATTATTAGTTGATGATTATTTGTGTGGTTCTGCAACTTGGACTAATGCAAATATACATGTGCACTTCCTGCATATGCCTAGTCTATATTTGTTCATGCTTTTGTTAGAATTTATCATTCATCAATCTCTAACATGATGAATCAATCATCAATTGTTTCTTCTCTCATCTTGGCTAGTGCTTGATGGCAGCCTATCTGATTTTCCCAGTAAAATTTGTTTCTACAATTTTAAGCCGCTGGCAAATCAATTCAAATGTCTATTAATGCATGTTGCCATATGCCCATATCAATATGAATGTGTGTGTGTGGGGTCCATGTCCCCTTGATTTAGCGGTACAGAAGGTTTGCTGCTTCTTAATGAGCCTGACATTGATAAGGGCCTAAATGGGCATTAATTTGCTCTAAGAAAGCATCGTATTTTCCTCCCCAACTGTTTTCTAGAGAGCAGTCAAGGGTATAGATTAACTGTTCTCCTCTCCTATTCATTGGGCCTATAGGCTATAGGTCTGTAGGTTGTGTGTGATTCTCGTGTGCCTTTTGCGAGTTAATTTTTTTTGTCTTATTTCTCTTGAAATATAACTAATGTGCAGTAATTGAGTCATCTTAAACACATTTAATTTGTTTTGCTTACTTATATATGTAAGGAAAAGAGCACATTGATTGATGAAGCCCTAGTTTGTGAACCCTGAATCCATTTCTTCTCTCTTTTGACCGCAGCTACTCTGTCGACAAATTTTGTAGCTAGTGCAGATATTGATATTTTCAAGTAGACGAAGATGTTATTTGTGCAATCTCTGTTCTTTGTTATTGTTTCCTTCCCCCTATCTAAGTTGCTGCAAGTACTATCATTAATGCTTTCATCCTTCCAACTACTTTTTCTTTTTCATTAAATCATGATTACATTTCTAATATAGTAAGAAAATTTAGTCCTGCAAGGCATCACCTTTACACTATGGAGCATACGCCTTTCGTCACTACAAGGGAAATGTCTTGTCTTGCTTTCTCCCTTTTGAAAACATTGCTTGAAATCCACCTATATTACTGTATATGCTCTTAGTGACTCTGTTCCGAATTGAAAAATTGTTCACGTCATTTGTACACTGTTTACAGGTCACAGCTTTAGATGCTCGCTACCATCTCTCAGAATCAAAAGATTATGAGGTGAGGGTAGCTTTTCTTCAGCTGGCCATTTCAGCAAGATGCAGAGACTACTACGGCGAGGTGGAAAAAACACTGAAGGAAGTAGGTAGGATGAAGTACCTTCGTCCACTCTATACTGCACTTGTTCAAGGTGCGGGAAAGGAAGAAGAAAAAGTTTTTGCCAGAAGGGTATTCACAGAGGCTTGTGATTGTTATCACCCCATAGCTCAAGGTGTTGCTGAGGCTATCCTTGCAAAGCATGCCTGAAGTTAGTGTAAATTCAAACTTTTGCTTATTATGTTATCAGAAGTTTGACATATATGTGTCTGTTGCCTAAATCTGGGGTGCTTTCTCAATATAGGTTAAATTGTTTTGCTAAATCTTTGCATCTTTGTGGCTTTCACTAAATAGGTGCATTCGTGAATTGGTTTTTGTGTTTACTCTGTGCATGCTATAGCTTCAAGGTTTTTTTTTTCCATCGAAAACCTGCAATTGTTTTACGTTTCTCTTTATTCATCAGGAACTTGCTATTTTCTTTTAAGACAAATTGTTAGGCGCATTTGGGATGATGGTTCTATCTATATCTATATTTAGAAAGGTGAATCTGTTAACAAAACTAGCAGAGTTGAAGGTTCAGGGAACTAGCCGGCTGCACCATTAAAAAAGTTACTTTGGGAAAATGACAAAGGTAGCTCCGCAACTACTATATCACTATCTGCCTTCTTGAGAGGGTCAACAACGTGCTCCTTAGCTTGCAGTGTTTTTACTATCTCATATTTGTGAGCACAAATTTTAGTCTTAATTTAATTCATTAAACTTTATAAGTTCATTTCTATACAAATTCCTAAAGCGGGATAAAAGTTAAATACCAGCATGAAATATACTATTTCTGCAAACTTCTCCTCTTTCTTCACTTAAAATCTAGGGATCTTTATATAAATACCTAGTTGGATTTACTCTTTATTTCTCTTACATATATATTCATCATCATATCATCATACTATATTTATGAAGACTTTTAGGTAAAATTGTTATACTAAAATATCCTTTAAAAATTAAGTGACCATTTTACCCTTCTATGTGACCCCACAATGATTCGTTAATTAATTTACATATTAATAAAAACCTTAAATTTAAACAGATGCATCTTTTCCTCTTCTTTCTCTCGCCTCTTCATGATTTCCTACGAATAATTATAAGAAAAACTGATCTCATCACATTAATCTACAAACTGATATATATCCTCTTCTTCATCTTCTTTCGTTTTATGACGTTTCATAATTGTTGTTTTTTTCATTATTCATAACTATTATTTGTTGGCTCATGTATTTAGGAAAAAAAGTATTTGCATATATATATGGAAATGCAAGAGATAATTCTTTGTCTGCAACTCTGTTGGGGTTCCCATGCTTCCATGAACACTTGAGGTCACTGTAGCTGACAAAAAAGCTGAACTGGAACTTATTTAGCAATTGCTCAACCTTCTTCTTCCTCCAATAAACATCACTATCTTCAAATTGAACATTAAATACCCTGCTTAACTCTACCCATGCATTATTCAGCACACTGACTGATCCAGCAAAGCTATGGCCACCAGGATCAAATGAAATTTCAGGTGTGAAATCCATCTTTTGTTCTTGAAGGTCTTCAGCCACATGAAAACAATGAACTAGTGGAGCATTTAGCTCAAAGGATCCTTCCTTGATCGAGTCACGCACCCACGAGCATCGTGGTTGCAAGGGAACAAAGGATATTCGACAACCTCATCATCAATGTAAATAGAAAGATCACCAAACTTCCGTGAAGCAGTAGCAACTTCATCTAATCCAGATGGAAGAAAACTACGCATAGAAAGCATGGCGACATTTAAGATGAACAATTTCATTGCATCAATTAATTGATTAAAATCTGGAGGACTCATGAGATTAATCTTGAGATAAAGAGGATGATAGTAAGTTACTTTGAGGGGATCATTTTCCTTTGCAAGTGCATTTCTCGCCTCTCTAACCGAGAACACGTCTTTGTGAATTATTTTTCTTTGTACAAGGAGCCTAGTTGGCCTAGGTAGTGCCACCTTTGCCAGAGAATACTTCACTAAATGATTCCCTAGAGTATATGCCCTCAAATAATGACTTAAATAACCCAAAATAATCAATAGTAAGGTAACCCTGCGCTGCTGATGATAAAGAGTAGCAGTATTGTCCAGAGCTCCTTTCACAGTATTAAGTTCACTTATGGCCACATAGTCTCCAATCTCTTGGCACCCACAATATGTGATTATCCGAAGGGCATCTTGAAGAAGTCCTCCCACGAGTGTAACAATTTCATACCAATCTTGGAATCTCTTTCCTTCAGCAAGACCATAGTGGATTCCTTTCTCATCAATAAGAGTTTCTTCAACATAAGCATCCCCATGCTCAAGTATACCAAAATCTATATCGGCTATCACAGAGTCAACACTGCCAATATTTTCACCCACTACCCCTGACATAGATGGTTCAGGTTCCAGAGATAAACCCACCTCTTTCAAGTAATAAGCTAATAGAATAAGGCTTGTGATTGCTTTGTCAGTTGTAACTAATGATAAAGCACTAGAAAATTCACCAAAAAATGCCACAATGCTGAGATTTAGCAGGCCACCATTCCTGCCACCTATTATAACTGCTTCAAATGACTCCATTCTACATTCCAATATCAACAATAATGTTGTATATTGCATCATGCCATCAAGAAATATTTGTAGCTGCCAATCTTGAACATCAGTTTTGACCAATTTGTTAAGAAGTTTCAAAACAGCCTTGTTATGAGTTTTGACATATATATCAATCAAAGGATTGTACACAAGCAACTTTAGAGGGAAATCACCAACCTTCAATTTGGAAAACCATAGAGGTTTGTTTAGATTCATTTATCTCTGGTTCTTCTTTAACAAACGGACAAATCCGCTCGCTTTCATTTCTTTTGGGATTTTCATTGAAAACCTTTCCCACTATATTTACTGCAACTATCAGGGACTTATTCACTCCAATTTCCACCATAGCTATCCCTTCCTCTTGGGACCTCTAATGACATAGCCCAGCTATACCCTGTTGAGGACACTTACCAAATAACTCTAATGAATCAGATTTGACATACTCAAGGACACAAATATTCCCGAAAAGCATATCACAACCTAATCTAAACATGAAGATTTTCTGGTGTGTTGGATCGTTATTGACCAAATTTTGGGTATTTTCTTTGAAATAAGGAAGCACTGCTAGTTGATCATTCGAGGAGATTTCTAGAAGTATATTTACTGGTTCATCTTCCGGATCCTCTTCCTTGCCTTTTTCCATCCCCATCTCAGCACCTCCATTAGTTTGTTCATGCTCATTACTGAACTTCTCATTATCCTCTACACCGTTGTTTTCTCCAGTATCATCAATGTTAACAAAATGAGTCTCATAATCCATACAAATTTGATTATAAATACTTTCCCATTCATGGATGTCCGTAAGGACAATAGAGACACCTCCGGTGCTTTGAAAATCATCTTCAATTTTTATTGACTGAAGCACATCAAACGAATCGGTGTTGTCCTTTAGAGGACATTACTCAAACAACTGGTCCTTACTAATCTCCAAGTATTCGGCGACAGCATTAGCAGCAACTGCATCTTTGATCTCAATTCCTATACCATCAATCTCCAGTTGTTCAGTCATGTCATCATCATCCCATTGCTCATCTTTCAAATTGATTTCCTCCCTCTGAGAAATTTTACCGAACACATGAACCTCAATTTCTCTATTTCCTTCCACAACTAAAGGCTGGCCCTCTTTCATTATTTCCCCTCCAATAGAAAACTTGGGCGCCCATTCACCATTGCTGACTTGCACATGCACTCGCCTGACCTTCTTTTCACTTGAAAGCTTGGCAGTAACAGATTGTCGACCAAGCTCATATTTGTGCTTCTTCCTCCAAGTTTTTCTCTTGCCACAGGCGGCACATCGTTTGTGCTTAGAGTCTCGTGCAACACTTGTGGTTCTAGGGATACACTCAAATCCATAAGGATTAGGAAGAGAACCGAGATTTGTATCGTAACAATGATTTGCATATGGATCCTGCATCACACCATTAACCTCAAATCCATAAGGATGCTGATAAAATTCACCACAATAGTTCTCAGTGCCATAGGATGCCATATAAAAATGAGAATCTGTTTGGTAGGACTGATTATTGCAATGATGTTGCAGAGTGAACCATTGCTCCGTTCTTGTCGATTGGTCGAACGTTGCAGCGGAAGTAAAGCCGAAGACCGGTGGCTCTGATACCAATTGTAGTGAATCCGGCAGTGATTCGCCATTGAAACAGGAAAGAGGAACTAAGCGAAAAAAGAAAAGTAATTAAAAGATAAAAGATTCAGATTTTCATTTAACATATATGCTATAATGCTATATTTACAGAATATATATATGAACTTAATAGGGGTACTAATGAAAATAGATTATAAAGTGGGGCTAAACTGTAGTGGTAAAACTAATGAGGGGAAACCTATAAATAATAAAACTTGACCTATAATCTCCTTTCGTTACAAAGTGAAACAGAGATTTTGGAGTGCCGAATCTCGCACCTCTTGCAGAAGATTAATCATCATATAAAATTGCTCTTTAGATATAGTACCTTCATTTTTAAAAAGTTTACTCTACATTTCAATACTCAATTAAAGGAGAATACATTTAAGAGAGTGAAAGATGGAAAGACTTCAGTTTCCTAGACTTCTCATTATTCATTCAAGTGTCATTCTAAATTAAAAACTACAATATGAACTCACGAAAAGTTTGATCATCCAACTTGGGATTCTCTTGAATTCCCAAACCCATTTCTTTAATTTAATTGCTTTCTCCGCCGACACAGTAATTTGATGCAGGTATATATATATATATATATATATATATATATATACCCCTCTTTTTTGTGTGTGTGTATTAGAGTGCACCGTTGTGAATGTGTTAATTGTCATGAATGACGAATTATTTATTTTGAATTTTATGTTCCTAAGTCGCTTAAATTTACAAAAGTATTTGCGAATAATTTTACGTATTTGTTTCTCATATTTTATGAACTTAAACTATTCTAATTTTTGTTTTGTTTCTCTAGCTAGGGAATTTTGGAATATCAACTAACTGTATCAGTAGTGTGGTATTCAATACAACAATTCAAAAGGCAATAGAGCTCTGAAATAAATAATTTATAGTATTTTTACTATCTTCAAATTTGGTAATATGTATTCTCCGCATATAGCAAATTTTACTTATGCTAATACTATTGGATTAGAAGCCATGATATATCATTTAAATAATTTATTAATTTGGAGCTACTAGAAAAAGCTAAAGGTCTATAATATCAAATGGATCAACTATGATGAGATTCAATTTGGTCCCACATTTTGCTAATTGACCTTGCACTTTTTAAGCTTCAAATTTTTATTTATACTAATATTTATG